CAATTGGATGGATGGGTGGGTGGGTGATTGGATGGACGGACGGATGGATGGATGGACGATTGGAGGGATGGATGGGTGATTGGATGGATGGACAGACGGACAGATGGATGGATGGATGGACGATTGGATGGATGATGGATGGATGGATGATGGATGGACGGACAGACGGACGGATGGATGGACAATTGGATGGACGGACGGATGAATGGATGGACGATTGGATGGATGGGTGGATGGACGGACGTATGGGTGGAAGGGTGGACGGATGGATGGATGGATGGACGGACGGATGGGTGGAAGGGTGGACGCATGGACGGATGGCGGATGGTGGAAGGTGGATGAAGACCCACTAAGCGCACCGACCACCCAGGCGTGGTATGAGGGCCCACATGGTGGTTGGTTGGAGGGTCGGCCAGGGCAGTGGTGAGCTGAATGGTGGACAGGTGGATGAATGCAGACTGAATGCCTCACCGCATTAGTGAATCATTGATCATCTACTGATCAGTATTATTATTGGTTATTGGATCATTGGTGCATGGCACACAGGATGCTAGAATAGACGTCTACGGGTGGCTGGGCACGTCGCCATCCTGCCCGGTGCCCGTCGGTCCTGACTGGTTCTTCTGAGAACCCCCTGGGGGCTGAGCACGGCACCTCCTGGGAACACAGAGCCCCTGGAGGGGCCACGCCATCTTCTCTTCCTAGCAGCTGGCCCGTGTCCCCTCCCCTCTCCCCGAGGCCTCAGGGGCCACAGCAGGAGCACCCCCATCTGCTGTCCCGACTGGCTCCTTCCTAACTTGCATCAGGCACAGGCACGTCCAATGGACCTGGGGCACAGTAGCTGCTCAATAAAATCCGGCCCAGCACAGGGACCCCCGCACTCACCGGAAAACAGGGGGCAGATCTTCTCCCAGCAGGTGATGCCCCCTTCCGAGGTGTACTGGCCTATGATGACCTCCAGGAAAAACACGGGCAGGCCGCTCCCAAACAGGAAAATGAAATACGGGATTAGAAATGCACCTGTAAGGGGGCAGGCAGAAGTGACCGAGCGTTAAGGCTGTGGCTGTGACAGTGACCGGCACCCCAAGGTGCTCCCTCCCGACCCCTCCCAGCCACCAGAATCTGAGAGAGAGAGAGAGAGAGAATGAGTGACGGGGGGCAGGGGGCAGGAGGGACAAGGGCCAGACTCTCCAACGTGTCCCCCCCCACCCCAGCCATCTCCAAATCGGCACCCGGTCCTCGGAGCCACAGGGCCTTTGCTTGAGCTGCACCTACGGGCTTGCCTGCCTTAGTGGGGACTGTTCCACCTGCAACACCCTCTGCGACACCTGCCGTGCCCGGGCCTGCCCAGATGGAAAGATCTAGAAGGATCGCAGCAGCTGCCGTGAGAAACCCAAGGGTGGCTTCTTCTCCAGCTGGTGGGTGGGGACAGGGGGTTGGGGGGCGCCAGGGAATGGAGGCAGGGCACAGCTGGGGGACAGGGGTCCTACCTGCGTCACTAATGGCTTCAGCGGGTTCCATAAACCCTTTGAAACTGTGGGCAACTTGGGTCTAGGGTGGGTGCTTGGTTCTGAGGAGCGTCTGGGGCCCTCATCAGAGTCCCCCAGGGGCCTGAGACCTACGAAAGGTTAAGAAACCAGGCTCTAAGGGACAAGTCCCCCAAAGGGTGGCTTCCTAAGCACAGGTGGCCCGGGGCCAGGCTTGAGCCAACTCCAGCCTACCCAAGCTCTCTCCAAGTCCCTGAAACCTCGGGGCCGGGGGGTGGCCACTGGACATTGGCACCTCCGAGGACTCTCGCGGAGGGCCCTCGGCAGGCAGGATGAAAACAAAACAAAACAAGAAACACCCCAACAACATGGCCCACGCCTGGCAACCCAGCGGCTCGGGAGGCCGAGGCAGGAGGATCGCGAGTGGGAGGCCAGCCTCAGCCAAAGCGAGGCCCTAAGCAACTCAGTGAGACCCTGTCTCTCAATAAAATGCAAAATAGGGCTGGGGACAGGGCTCTGTGGCCAAGTGTCCCCAAGTTCCATCCCCGGTACCCCCTTCCCCCCAAAAAATAATGTCAAGGAGAGAGAAAGTGGGGAGCCATAAATCCAGGGGGGTTTACAAAGGGCAAGTGTGAATCTCTGACCTTATTCCACCTTTTCAGAGACTAGAGGATCAGAGAGGGTGTGAGGCACCTCAAGGTAACACAGCAAGACTCGGGACAGAACCCGGCCACCCTGATTCTCAGTCGTGCTCATCTCCTGTCTCTGTGGTGAGCTGGGGTCAGGGGGTGGGACAGGGTGACCCGGGGGAGGAAGATCAGGGTGCAGAGAGAAGGCACCCCGACCCTCGGGCGGCGGCCTTCACGCCTCCCCTTTGGCCAGCTCCCACCCTGGACTCACCTCCACCATTTTTATAGCAGAGGTACGGGAATCGCCACACGTTGCCCAAGCCCACGAAGCCGCCAGCGACGGACAGCACAAAGTCGATCTTGCTGGCCCACTTCTCCCGCTGCGGGGGCTTGCCCTCGGCCTCGTCCTCGGGCCGGGTGCCGGGGCTTTTCCCGGGAGACGGCTTCAAGATATCCTTGTGGAAGTCCTTCAGACACTGCAACTTCTCTTTGGTGGCCATCGGATCACTCTCTAGGCAGGGGACACAACGGGACCAAAAGGTGAGGCCGATGAGGTGGCCCCTGGGCGTCGCCCCTGGACGGCCTGATGCTCATTTTGGAGGCTGAGGCAGGAGGATCGAAAGGTGGAGGCCAGCCTCAGCCAAAGCCAGGCCCTGAGCCACTCAGCGAGACCCTGTCTCTAAATAAAATGCAAAAATAGGGCTGGGGATGGGGCTCAGGGGTGGGGTGTCCCCTGGGTTCCATCCTCAGTACCCAAAGCATAAAATATAGTCACCCCTGGGGACAAGAGGAGCCCGTCCTGGGGTGTCCCTGGCAGGCGCACAGTAGGGCATCGGGCAGCGCCATGGGGTCAGTGGTTCCCAGGTATCTGCAGGTCGCCCGGCGCTCGGAGCAGAAGACCCCAGCTCTGGGGGTGACGCAGCAGGCCAGGGGGGGTGGCCCGAGGACCTGGGGCTTGGACGTGAGGCCCGGCCCCAGGAGCCAGCAGGACCCACCTCTTCCTGTCCCTGGCTGGGGTGGGGGACCCCGATTGTTTCTGGCGACAGGCAGACCCACAAGGCTTCCTGCAGCCCCGGGCAGCCCACCGGGCCCTTCCTCCGTCTGCTGGGGCATCCGCAAGGCCTTTCTGTGCCCTGTCCCTCAGGGGCCCGGCGGGGCCAGGCCACTGTAAAAATAGCCCCAATGGCCACTATTGTTCCAGCCGGCCCCCCGATGGTTATCAGGACGGCTCATTGTGGGCCGGCTGGGTGGGCCCATAATGGGAGGATGTCTGGGCCTCCCTCCCTCCCTCCTGGGGACAGTGTGGCTCAGGGAGCGGCCTCCTGGGGAGCCTCCTTACCCAAAAGGCCACGTCCACCCTTTTCAGTGGGGGGGATTGAACTCAGAGATTGCACTTGACCCCTGAGCCCCGTCCCCAGCCCTGTTTTGCATTTTATTTAGAGACAGGGTCTCCCTGAGCGGCTCAGGGCCTCGCTTTGGCTGAGGCTGGCCTCCACCTCGCGATCCTCCTGCCTCAGCCTCCCCAGCCGCTGGGATGACAGGCATGGGCCCCCGTGCCGGGCAAAGGCTGGTTCCCCCCAGGAGCCAGGGCTGGTGGCTGGTGGGGACCCCGAGAGTCCTCCCTCCATCTCTGGGCTGCAGGACTTAACTTCTCACACCGGCAGAGAACCTTCTAGAAACTTGGAGGAGAGCGGTAACTGGAATTCCCCGAGCCCCTTGGGTTCCCTCTGGTTTCCTGTGGAACCAGGATTCTAGTTCTTTCCATGGCCAGGGCCCCCCGGGTCAGGCTGCCAGGGGCTGAACGGGGGGGGGGGGGGGGGGGTTGAAGGGACAGGGCAGGTGGCTGTCACCTGCCGGGCTCTGTGGGGTCCACCCTGCTCCTGGGGATGGATCCCACTGCCATCTGCAACCAAGAGCTCAAGGACCCTGCTTCTGCGCCCCCCCTCACTGGGGCTGGTCACTGCCCCCCCACACAAGGGTCCTTCAAATGCAGACGAAGGAGGCTCATTCAGGAGGTTAATTTGGAGGCCCCAGCCTTCCAAGGACACCCGCTGACAGCTTCTGCGTGTTCCTGGCGCCCAACCCCGGTTGCCATGGCGACCACCCAGCTCCCCACAGCTCCCTACCCCACCCCCCATCTGTCCTCCACCACCTCAACCAACCACAGCAGAGCCAGATCCCTCCCGCGGCCCCTGGGGCCCCAACTTCCTCCTCCCTTCGTCCCTGGGACACTGGCTTGTCCCCTTAAGGAATCCCAGAGTGTCAGCCTTGATCCCAAAGCGGGGAGCTCCTTCCCCGGGCTGAGTGACCTCAGGCAAGTGAGTCAACCTCTCTGGTCAAGGACTTCGGTGCCAGCTGCTGGGATCTGACTGTTCTAATCTTTACCAGGCCCTCCCTTCCCCAAGCCCGGAGCGTGGAAAGGCTTCTTCGTGCCACCCTGGGTGACATCAGCAAGCTCCAGATGCTCTGAGGTCACTGAGCTGAGCTGGTAGTGCAAGGACACCCAGGCCTTCCCTGTCCCTCTCGGATGGCCCGGCTTGACCTCACATGACACCCTGGCTGCCAGGCCTCCACCCATCTCTTATGGATTCCCAATGAGGCCACTCTCCGGGACACTCCAGCAAGGACACCACACGGGGCCATGAGTGTCCGGCCACGGGCACGGGTCCCCTCTGCCAGCGTCCGACGGTCGATTTTCCTGCCAACATGAGCTGTTTTTCCTGGCCCGGCGCCCAGGGTGATTTTGTAGCGGCCGAGATACATAATTCCCCATTTTAAGAGCTTCCTCTTTGGTTTTGACAGCCACAAGCCATCGGAGTGGCCCTGACCCAGGCTCTCTGGGAGGACGCCTCCCGCTCGGCCCGACTCAGAACCCTCCCCGTGTCTCGGTTCCAGGGATGGCGGCCAGATCCAGCCGTGCCTGAAGGCCACTTGCCAGCAGATCACCTGGTCAAGCTCTGGCCAGATGCTACCCAGGGCCGGCCACACCGTGGGTTTGCAAAATAGTCCTTTGGTCCCCAAATTGTTAACCAGCATCAGACGGTCGAGTAGCCACTCTGGGCCAAAAGCTGCTTGTAAAGACAGTTTCCGGAGTCATCCCCAAATATTCTTGTGTTAAAAGCATCGGGGAGCTGAGCGCCGGGGCCCACGCCTGTCATCCCAGCGGCTCAGGAGGCTGAGGCAGGAGGATCGTGAGTTCAAAGCCAGCCTCAGCCAAAGGGAGGCCCTAAGCAACTCAAGGAGACCCTGTCTCTAAATAAACCACAAAATAGGGCTGGGGAGGGGGCTCAGGGGTCCAGGGCCCCTGAGTTCCATCCCTGGTACCCCCCATCCCCCCAAAAATAGCAAGACGCCTGTAGGTTGTTAGCTCGAGGCCTGATGATACATAAATACATATTAGTTACCACTGAAGAAGGTAGCGAGCCACAGTGGGGTTTTGGGACAATGTGGGGCAGGCATTGAACTCTGTTTAACTTAAAAAAAAATAATAAGGAAGTGGGGGACCAGAGAGGTCCTCAAAGGACACAAAGTTTCAGTTTTCCACAAATAAACTCCAGATCCCGAACATGATCGTTACTAACAATATGTTGCAGACAGAAGTCAGCAGCAGGCCCGGTGTAGGGGCGCAGGCCTGCGATTCCAGCAGCTCGGGAGGCCGAGGCAGGAGGATCGCAAGTTGGAGGCCAGCCTCAGCCACTTAGCCAGGCCCTAAGCCACTCAGTGAGACCCTGCCTCTAAATAAAATATAAAAAGGGCTGGGGACGGGGCTCAGGGGTCGAGGGCCCCTGGGTTCAATCCCTGGTACCAGAAAAAAAAAATAAAATAAAACTAAAGAAGGCAGCTTCAGGCCACAGACCAGATGACAAATTAGGGAACTGGGTTCAAGGGCAAAAAGGGAAGTGAAGGGCCCCATGACCTGACGGGGAGATCAGGGGGGCGAGGTACATGATCAAGGAGGAGGCCAACTGGGGCCTGTCCCCAATGTCTGCCGCGGGACCCTCCCCAGGTTCCAATCCCTGGCCCCAGTTAAGCGTCTAACAGGCGCCAATCGGACCTTTTAAGAGCCCAGTGTGGGGGGTGCAGTCCTGCCATCCCAGCCCCTGGAGGCTGAGGCAGGAGGATCCAAAGTTCAAGGCCAGCCTCAGCCATTTAGCAGACACCCTGTCTCCAAATAAAATCATAATAAGGGCTCGGGGGTAGAAAGCCACTGGATTCAATCCTAAAATGTATTATTTAAAAAGAGAAAGAGAGAGAGAGAGAGGGAGGGAGGGAGGGAGGGAGGGGGCCAGGCGCGGTGACGACATCTGTCATCCCAGCGGCTTGGGAGGCTGAGGCAGGAGGATCGCAAGTGGAGATCAGCCTCAGCCAAAGCGAGGCCCTGAGCCACTCAGGGAGACCCTGTCTCTAAATAAAATGCAAAATAGGGCTGGGGACGGGGCTCAGGGGTTGAGTGTCCCTGAGTCAAAAGCCCGGTACAAAAAAAAAAAAAAAAAAAAAAAAAGAAAGATTTAATCATTGAGTGGAATCATGCGGTCAGTAGCCTTTGGTGATCTATTTCTGGGCAAAGGCTAACCAAGCCCCCGGGTGGCCTCTTCTGAGCCAAGTTCATCCGGGAAACCAAGAATTGTTTTTTTGGTTTTGGTTTTGGTCCCAGGGATTGAACCCAGGGGCGCTGAACCCCTGAACCCCAGCCCCAGCCCCGTTTTTCTATTTTATCACCGACAAGGGCCTCACTCCATTGCTGAGGCTGGCCTCCAAAGCGCGATCCTCCTGCCTCAGCCTCCTGAGCGGCTGGGATGACTGACGGGCCCCACTGCTCCATAGTTTTGCCCAGAATAAACCCCCAAAACAATGGTCACCCACACTCTGGGGACATGCCAGGGGTTGAGGGGTGTGGCGTGGGTCATTTCCTGGCCATCTTGTGTCATTTTTTCTCCAAACATCAGCAGGTGCCGGGTGTGGGGGCGCACACTTATAGTCCCAGTGACTCCAGAGGCTGAGGCACGAGGATCGTAAATTGGAGGCCAGCCTCAGCAATGTAGTTAAGTTCAGCCACTTAACAAAGACCCTAGATGGCTGGGGGGGAAGGTGTCCAGGCCAAGGTGGGAACCCGGATTTATCCTGCTCTGTGAGCTGTCCCAGTCGGGGCTCAGTCTGGTTCCTTCCTGGGCCTCACTTTTCCCTGGTGGCCTGGCCAATCCCGGCCTCCTCCGGCTCTGAGAGGGGACTTGTTTTTTCTTGGTGTGTGGGGGGTACCTGAGATTGAGCTCAGAGCCACTTGACCCCTGAGCCCCGTCCCCAGCCCTTTTACTTTTTATTTAGAGACAGGGTCTCCCTGAGCTGCTTAGGGCCTCGCTTTGGCTGAGGCTGGCCTCCACCTTGTGATCCTCCTGCCTCAGCCTCCACTGGGAGGACAGCCGTGGGCCCCGGCGCCCGGCCCGAGAGGGGGTTCTTAAGGGTTCTCCTGGGGCTTTTGTGGGATTTTCTGATCATTTAATTCCCATCCCTCAG